ATAAGTAAGGAATATTTTCTGTGATGGGGAAGAGGAAATGAGTAGCACAATGATCAAATAAAACTGGCCCTTTATAAAATTATTAGAACTCACAGTTTTTCCATTTGCAAATGATGTTTTTCCTGAGCTCAAGAACTATGAGTGGCTTTCCATTCAGTCAACACAGGCTACATTCCCTGACCTTACACTGCTCACAGAACTGTGGATAGAGTCTCAATCTTCACATCTGGACCCATCCTCCATATCTGACTTCACCTCCTTCTGTTTCCCAGTAGTCTGATCTAGTCACAGTGGCCACCTACAGGTCTGTGACCTATCCCATGTACATACCCACCTTTGTGCCTTTGCTCATGTTGTAGTGCTACCTAGATTTCCTTCTAATCCCCGAACAAGAGAATAACTACTCACTCCTGAAGGCCCAACTCAAATGAAACCTCTTCAGAAGAGCATGGGGCAAGGGCTCCAAGCAGGGGTCCCAGGGCTCATTCCCATACAAACTGCCTTATCCACCTGCCAGGAACTTAGCTACCAAAGAGATGGTTGTATATAGAGAGTGGGTTAAACTGTAGTATTAAAAAAAGGGGGGAAGTACTTCTTAATCCTCAGACTTTAAAGGAGTTGAGATGAAGGTTTCTAGGAAACATTCTACAGTCTCAAAGTAGGATTTACTTATTTGTATGTGTATAACCTGCAACTGAGAAACTATGAACGAACAAGTCCAAGGGTCCTGCACTAAACGGTAAACTCTGTAAGGGCAAGGATTTTTGCCTATTTTGTTCTGTTTATTCACTCCCTGAGACTCACAGCAAGAACTCAAGAAATATTTACTGAATGAATAAATGAACAAAGTGTTGTATTAATATTACTGTTAAGTAAATTCAGTTACCACAGATTATAAATATACCAACAACGACCAGCTCTGTTACCTGGCTAGAGTAGACTTAAAGAAATTTTCGTTATGCTTCTAAAGCAGGTCTTACCTTGGGACTGGGCAATTTACTCAGAGAGCACTAAGGAAAAAATGTGTGCCCACTGCCAGCTGCTAAGAATCACAGATCATAAAACTTTAGAAGTAAATATATCATTGAAATGAACTTAATGTTTTATGCTTCCTCGTTGCCTCAAACTGCCAAAAAAAGCTGGTGCACTTCAGGGGGAAGAATACTCATAGGAAGCAGTTTCCTGCCCCTGAAACCCGGTCATTTCAACATGGCAGTTGTTTAAAACCCCCTGCTACCATAGGGTTTTTTGAAACAGGAAGCAATAGTGGCACACGTAGCTGAACAGTGGGGAGAGCAAGCAGCAGAGAGGAAACAAAAAGCCAAGCAAGAAGTGAGAACAAGGCTTGGAGGTAAGCCCACAAAGTACAAAAACAATAGACCTATCTCCCTAATGTCTCCAATAATGTTATTCACCCATACACCATAATTATGAAAAAAGAAAATGAAGGGCATAGAAACAAATTATCAAATAGAACTAATACCATTATCTCTAAAGTTTCCTACTTTTAACAAATATAACGGTGATATTAGTAACTATATGCTCTTTTTCCCTAGTTAACTCTTCTTCCAATTTTAATGACTCCAACAGAAAAGAAGTTGCTAAGAACTTGATTGTCTTTAAATGGGAAAGGGAGTAGACTACAGATGACTTTTCCTCTACTTTCCACTTTCTTTTATTTTCTACAGTAAGTTTTCCACTTGTTATGATGAAAAAATAATCTTTGTTTTACAAAACTACAGGGCTAAAAAAGTTAACGTTTCAATAATAAAACTACATTAAATAAATTCTTTACCCCAAACAATGAGTAACAAAGAATTCAGTAACACCAAGCCAATCTTTTTGCTCAACATTATTGCCTTAATGTCTTTCCTCCTCAACTACAATTACTTCTAACCATTTATAAAAAAATCATGTCTTCATAATAGGCATAATTTATAAAGTACTTCAATTTCTATGCATTATTTACTTGATTTTCCCTGAAAACTTTGTGAGATGGTCAAACTGGATATTTTTATCTCCATTTTATAGATGAGCAAAGTGGGGGCCTAAAGGAAAGTGATTTGCCAAGACAGAAACCCAGATCTTCTTGCTCCACACCTGGCATTCCAAAACAGCATTTCTCAAGCCTAGTACTACTGACTTTTGAACCAGGAATTCTTTATTGTAGTGGCCTCCACCATGCATTACAGATATTTAGCAGCATCCTTGGCCTCTACACACTACAGAAGCCAGTAACACTGTCTCCTCCTACCTGTTCCCCTCCCCCAAGTTTTAACAACCCAAAATGTCTCCAGAAACTGCAAGTAAATCCTTGGGTAAAAAATCGTACCCAGCTGACAAAAGAATCTGAGTGGTTCCCTCGGGCATCTCCATTTTATGTCAAGATTCCACATACGACTGAGCCACGATAAATCACAGAGCCATCAGATGCTGCTTGCTCAGTGAGATTCAATTAATTAGCCAATTCCCTATCCACTAAAACAATTTTTAAATGTGAAAATGAACAAGAAAAATTTCCTTGTACAAATATTCACATTTCAATGATAAATCTTCTAAAAGCATTACCTTATTAGAACATAATAAGGATACACATAACAAAAATACATAAAATGATATGTGTTTGGGGAAAAACACTTATCAGAGGATTAAATCGAAACACTTATCTTGGTCTTTGCTAATAAGACAGTTATACTTGTTCCCTCTACAAAAATAAGCATAAACCTATACATGTTCTTAATATTTGCTTCAGCTGTGTTTCTGTCCAAATATGTATGTCAAAGCTCTTCAAAAGAAATTAAGTGATAACTTGGGAACATTAGAATTGGTGGCCTGCAGTTGAAACCACTAGTAGTTGTGAACCCAGAATCGAAACTAGCAGACCTCACAATATTTAGAAGCACTTGGTTTAAGTTTCTTCATGCCATTTAATCTGTCTTTATTCCTACAGAAACAACTCCACCTTCAAAATTCCTTATTTCCACCAGCTTTTTAGCAAATGTCTAATTGAAAACATTTTGCAACCTAACTCCCCTTAACACCTTAAATCGGTAAAAGGTAGACACCAAATGATCAGAGAAATAATTACAAGTATAGCATTAGCCAAATTGATGTTAAGAGAGCCCAAATTGCAGCAAAGTGAAATGTAGTTATATTTTTTGAGAAATACTTGGACTTTTTATTTACATATGTATAATGTAATTATCCTCTATCTTTTCCCAGTGGTAGTAAGTAGTATATTGTGGAATGGGAAAACTAAATTGGCTTTTATTCAATGTGGAGAGTCACATTACAATTCTAGAATTAGAAAAATACATGTTTTGGAGCTATTTAGAGAAACTAAGATACTGTGAAAGTGCTTATTCAATATGATATGTAGAATTAAGAAAAGGTTGTGATGATTCCTATTCATAATGTCCACAGTTACTCAGGTATGATGTACCTACATCTTTAAATGTGATCTAGATCTATACATGAGATATCTTCTCCATATTACAAAGCATATTGTACCCCAAGTGTCTGGTACCCTCATGGTTGCCATTAAAATTCACCACAAAGTACAAAAGAACACACTGATCCTTCAATGAAAATGACTCCCCAGTCTTGGAAAACATTAGAGTCACCAAAAGCAAAATTAAGAAACACAAAAATGGAGTTTCGGAAAGGGAGGAACAAAGATTTAATCAATATAAAATGCTCATTAAAAAAATTTTTTTCCACCATGTGCTTGCCCATAATTTAAATCTTTTTCTTTAAAAATAGCCAACGAAGACTCCATGATCACATCTAATTGTTTCTCCATTATACCTGTCACTCCCTGAAATAAGTAATGACAATATTAAACAGCTGTAAACTCCTGCCAGAGAAAAACCCTATGACTCTTTTAAAAAAAGAAGGTTAATAGCATGTATCCAACCAGGGACAGAAGACAGCTTACGGCCACGTATTAAGAGAAGTGGCAGGAAGGACCGGGTCCTCTTCCCCAAGGACACACTGTAATTCAGGGAATATACTATTTTTTAAAACATGCACAAACACCTGACAATAATCACACCTTTTATCAAGTATCCCTACATTAGTTCCTTGGTAACCACAGATCAAAGGAGCCCACATTCTCGGAACCTTGCGAAGTGACTTGAGAGGGGTGTTGACTAGTCCTGCTAAAGGGACATTCTCCCTTTGATGCTAGACGACAGCGCGCGGACAGGGTATGAGGAGTTAGAGCGGGGGCCAGAGACCAGCCCCGGTTTCGATTAATCTGTCCTTTTCAAGTAGGATTCGCATTTCCCCGGGTGGCTCTCTCTCACTGTTGCTCTTCCCTGGCCCTCTGGCCCAGAGTGCATCTTTCGCCCTTCTCCATGGCTCCTTAGAGACAGGGTCCCAACAAAACATAACGTAAAAGGGAAGGGGGGATTTCCTGAGTCCCCAGAACCCCTCATCCACCCCAAACATGGCTCCAAATCCCTTCCCTCGCTGAGAGAGCAAAGGAGGAAAATGGAAAATGGCTCAGACCCTCAGCCTCCGTCCTAAAAAAAAAAAAAAAAAAAAAAAAAAATCCTCCCGCCCCCCGGGCAATTGTGCCAGAAAGCCAGCGGTCAAGTTCTCAGTGCAAGAGCGAGGGACGTCAGACCTCAAGCCCGCGCCTGTATCTCAGGGTGGTATAAACAGGATGTCAGCGCGTTCCAGGCTTGTTTATGAAAACTTGGTGTGCGCTCTGGGGGAGGCGGAGGGGAGCCTTAATGTCCCCCCGCTCCCCAATCTGCCCGCCGACGGCCGGCTCCGCTCGGCTGGAAATCCCCCGCCTCCCCCGCCCGCCCCCGCCCGCCCCCAACCCGCCAGGCCCCCAGGTCCAGCGCCGCGCGCGCCGAGTGGCCGGGGGCATGCGGCTCGCGAGGACCGACAGCGGCAGCCGCGCCTCCCGCCAGCGCTGGGCTCCGCGCCCCTCGTCCTGTCGTCCGCGGCCGCTGCAGGCTTCTCCACCTCCCCTCAGTGACACTCACCACTTCCGTGTGCGCCTGGGCCGGGGGCTCCGGAGCGCTGCGCTGGTCCCGCGGCCCGCCAGCCAAGCGGCAAGCCCCGCAGGGCCCCGGCGTGCGCGCGCCCGGGGCTGAGGAGGGGGCGCGGGGTGGGCTACCAGGGGTTGGGCGCAGACCCGCGATGCGGCTGCTGGCTACTCCGCGGCCGCCGCGGCCTGGGCTCCGCGACGCACCCGCCTCCCGCCCCGCCCCGCGGCTAGCTCCGCCTCCAGCCCGCAGATAACCCTACCTCCTCGTGACGACACCAGCGGCCGCCCAGGAAAGTGGGGGCGGAGGTCGCGGTCGAGGCGGCGGCTACTCCACGGGTCGGGACACAGCGCCTGCAGCCTTCCCGCCAGGCCCCCATCCGGCTTCGCTCACGCCCCCGCCCCCGCCCCTAACTTGCGTCTTCTAGAAACACCAACCTAAGGATGGTACGTCCGCCAGGGCAGAAAGTACAACTAGCAGGATTTGGCCATTGGCTGGCCCCTGCCAAGTCTGGGGTGCCCTCCACCACATCTTCGAGCACTTATCACAGCCTTCTGCCCCTTGTCCCCACCGAGTAGGGGGCGAGCTTGTAGAGCATTTGTCTAACAGGAACTCAACGAGAAGTAAATCTTACAACATTGGTTAAGTTCATATCCAACCCATTCTGTCTTTAAAGAATTCTTTTAAATTTTAAACATAACATTTGTTGATATCTAATGGGTGTCCAGGGCTTTTCATTTTTACTAGTAATCGGTAGAATAGATACTATCCTTAGTGTATCCATGAGGAAACAAATTGAGCCTCAAGTATCTTAATCAAGGCCACACTGTGGTCAGGATTCATTTCCCGCCGCAATCTATAACCAAATCCTGACAGTTTTACTTCCTTAGTACCTTTCCAGGCCTTTCCCTTCTTGAACAGGATCAGAGCTGCCACCATCTCTCATCTGAAGGACCACAAACATCTAAATCCTCCCCTCTGCATTCACTCCAGTCTCCAATTCTTCACAGTAAACTTTTAAAAATTCAAATCTGTTCTGCTCACTTCCAAGCTTAAAACACTCCAGAGCCTTCGCACTGAAAATTCTTAGGTGAAAATCCTCCTAGGACATGCAGTCAGGCTTCTACAGTTCAGGTTACTGTGGACTGAGGTCACCTGTCCTGACTGCGCTAACCCTGCTGAAGTGTTCTTAATGTCTTGGGGGATTACTGCAACTTACCTCATACTGAGCAAGAAGTACTAGTGTGGTATGTGTGAGGCCAAAGAACATTTGAATCCAGAGTCCTAAAATTTAGGTCTGGTTTCCACCATTAGCCACCTGTGATGCCTAAAACAATTTGCAGTTGACTGGTAACATCTGATCAGACTAAAGGGCCTCCAGAGTGTCTTCTAGAAGAAGAGAATTGCTAAGAGAGAAGACAGGAGAAAAATCAGTGACATTTTTATTGAGCTGGGCCTTAATAGGTTGGAGTGACATGAATAGAAACAAATATGAAAGAACCACATTTCAGGTGGGCAAATGGTAAAGAAAAAGCAAAGTCAGAAAAGCAGCAATGACCCCCATTGTGCTCAAGAATAAATCTTATTGCCCTGCCAGATTCATGGAATGGAATAAAGAGGGAGGGCCTTGACTGAGTTTATTCCCCTGTGCCAGGCATTGCATTAGATGCAGAGGATTCTGAGAAGATCCAGTCCCTGCTTTTGGGATGCTCACAGTGGAGTCAGAGAGAAAAACAGGTAGCAGTATGGTGGTTATTTGTGCTTTTCTAAAAGTCATCACAGAAGAAAATCACCCAACCTAGTCTGAAAAAATCAAGAAGAGAAGAAGAAACCATAGCAGAAGACAAGTCACAGGAACCAGGGAGAGGTGTCATATTCAGGCAGGAGTAAGTTTATACTGCATACCTGGGGAATAATAAAAAATTAAACTTGCAAAAATTCTTGCCCAAAAGAAATAGTGTGTTTTTGAAGCATTTAAGCAGGTTTTATTTTAGAAGAATCACTCAAGGGCAGGTTTCTCTACTTGAGCACTACTGGCATTTGGGGCCAGAGAATTCTTTGTTACAGGAGGCTGTCCTGTGCGACACAGGGTGTCAAGCAGGATCTATGTCCAGTAGAAGCCAGGAACAATCCCCCAGCTCTTCACCTGCCTTTCTGGCCTAGTTGTGACCACCAAAAATGTCTTCAGACACTGCCAAATACTCCCCCAGGGACAAAACTCTCACCCGTTGAGAACCACTCATCTAGGGATATTGTAGAAAATGGATTGGAGGACAAGAAGATTAATCACATAGCATCATAAAGCTGCAGACTGAAAGTGATGAGGACAGTATCTAAAGCAGTGGATTAGGCAGAGATACTAGGAAGATGTCAAAAGTCTGAGGAGATAAAACAGACAGTGCGTGGTGAGGGAGGAGTCTCACATGACCATTCTCAATTAGTTGACAAGTTAGTTGACCAAGGACGCCACCAACTAGATTGAATGAGGAATTCATCTTTATGTTTGAGAAAGCAAAAATTTTAAGTTACTCTATAGGGAACATACATAGAGAGAGGAGGAGAGGGGGCAAACCAGGGGGTGGAGGAGGGTAGGGAGAGAGTTAACAGTGTAAAAGGAGGAATACCCTTATTTCCTTCCAACATGTAATATGTGGCATGAAACCAGCAAACCTGATACAAATATTCATCTAATTTGGACTAAACCAAATGTAATGAAGAGGAAGCCTCTTATTAGGAAATTATCTTAAGATAAATCCAACAAGCAACCATACGCACATGGATTTCACATATGTCTTCATCAAAAGAGTATTTGCTCACCAGTCTGTTTCTCTGCAAAAGGTACTGCCTAAATTACAATGGGAAAATATCTTAGATTCAAACAATAAAATTTGCTTTTAAAAGACTATACTGAATAAAGCTGAACTAAAAGACCACTCTATAAATAATGAAATTTAATTACAAAAAATTAGAAAACTAGAGGAGAGAAAATCACCTGTAATCTTGCAACACTAATATAAACATGCTTACCATATTATATTTTTTTCTTCCAGCTATTTTTTAACTAGGTATATTTTTAATGTAAGTATAATCATGGTGTACATGTAACTGTTTCTTAAACTTATTTTAATAATAAGCATTTTTCCATGTTACTACAAAAGTCTTCATAACTAATGAATTTCTTCATACAAATAAATAATAAATATGCAATATTTAGATAGTTTTCTTAGGAGATATTCACGGAAATGGAGTTCTATTTTCTCTGCAACCTCTTTTTTTATTGACGTATAGTCCATATACAATGTTTTATTGGTTTCAGGTGTACAACATAGTGATTTGACAATTACATACATTACTAAATGCTCACCACAAGTGTAGTTACCTTCTGCCATCATACAAAGATATTATAATATTATTGACTATATTCCTCGTGCTATACTTTTACCCCTATGATTAATTTATTTTATATTGGAAGTTTGTACTTCTTTATCCCCTTCACCTATTTCACCCACCTGCCCACCGTGTCCCCTATGGCAATCCCAGTCTTTTCTCTGTTTATGAGTCTGTTACTGTTTTTGTTATTGTTTGTTCGTTTGTTTTGAAAAATGAAATTATTGAGTCAAATGGACTCATATTTTTAGAATTGACAAGTCACCAAATACACACGGACCCAAAAAATGTACACAATGTCAGTTTCTATACCAATGGACATTATAATTTTTAAATGGTTTAAACCTTTAATGTTTTAAAAATGTACCTGTTTTAATCTTGAATTCAATTTTGATTATTCAAGAGATTATTAATTTTCCATATGCTTTCTCACTAGTTTCTTTCTTTTTTTTTTAATTTACCAATGTGTGTACCAAAAGTGGGTAGGAGAAATACTGTCTTCCTTCTTTGTCCCCTGTCTACTGGGGTCATAGTATCTTCTATTGATTTGTAATAATAAGATCTGTAATAAAGATAGCAATATTTTTTCTGTCATACTTCTGATATGCATTTTTCTAGCATACTATTTGTTCTAAAAAATTATTATTGTAAAAGTTTCCCATTTTATTGTAATCAATTATGTTAAATTGTGGTGAGTTTTGTGTTTATTGTTTGTTTGCATTGAGATTTCATCTGTGATATTTTAGGAAGTCATCCTCTTTCCTTAGGCTAGATAAATGAATACAGTAAGTATTTGTTGAACAACACTATGTGCCAGGCACTTGTCCGCACTGCAAATACAGCAGTGAAATAAGACAGAGAAGACTCCTAGTTGGAGAGGATCATTGAAAACAAGTAAATGAGCAAATAATTAGAATGATGTCAGGTAGGGATACATGCTAAGGAAAAAGATATCTAAGTAAGAGAGAGGGAAGTGGACTAGCATAAATGTTCATTGTACATTACTCTAGGTTTTATATAGCTAAATGTTTTAAACATCCAATATTTGAACTAAAATTCCAGTGGATGCTCTGAAGTGTCTCAGGTGGTATTTTTTTTTAAATCAAGACTGTAATTAATACTGAAAATATAGTATTCAAGCAATGTTTGCCCTTTATTTAACAATCCCCTTCCATCATTCCACATGCCCCCACCAAAAAAAAGATAAACATAAAATCAAATGTTAAATCTTTTACCTCTGAAATAAACTTAGATGGTAATTGGACAGGTCTTTTTCTATATGTCCTCTACTCCATTCAATTAGGCTCCATCTAAAGTGGGGAAATAATTACACGTATAAAAAGGAGATCCTTTCTCATTGCTTGGTACCGTGAAAATAGTAGGCCGTCGAAAATACTCATAATGACAGATTGAAAGTAAGAAAAAAAGAGTTTGATTAAATGTCATGGGAAGGAAAAAATAATGTATACAGTTCTCTACCTAGGAAGAATCATGAATGATATATAGGAAATTCAATAGATATTTACTAAAAGTATGTAATTCAGTAAAAAAAATTTTAAAAAAACAGATGAAAGCAATTGAATCATATATGTGATTGGGAATGCCCACTTTAAATCCTTCTGGGCTACAATTATTGAGGGACTATTGTCCAGGACTTTGATGTCTCCCTCAGGCATTTGATACACTATTGGTACTGCACTGAAATTATTACTTGAGATAAACCTTGATCCTAATTTGGAGAACTTCCTCAGCCCTCTCCTGTTGAGACCTGAGGTTCATCTTCCTCAGATACTTCAACTCTCGTAAGATGTCAACTCTGCCCTCAG